ATCAATAAGTTATGATTTTGCGGAAGCAGATTTTGTGTTGAGTGACATTTCTTTGACAAAAAAAAAATCATTAAAAATCACATTTTCATTTTAATTACATTTAAAGGCATTGGAACAGAACAAATTCAGTTCAATAGAATCAATCTTTGCTAACTTTATCTTTTGAATGAATATATTCCAGTAAAAGGAAATCATATTTCGGATGTTAAACTAATCTATGAGTTCTACTTTGGAGCTCTTTAGTAAATCTGCATAAAAGGACATCATCAAATCATCAGTCAATTTCTGCATCAAATCTTAATTGATCTTCTTCTGAGAAATTGTGTAAACTTTGGCATAGACATTTTGATATTTACTGAATCAGGATTAATTAAAATTTGATACGTTGAAATAATCCAAACTACTCTACTGCACACACAAAGATTTGGGATTATGATAAAAATAATAAATTTTGAATTCAGAGCTTGAAGTCAAGTTTTAAATCAAGTCAAGTTGACTTCGAGCTGCGTAAGTAATTTACAATTACTTAAACAAATTTATGCCCAATCTTTGGTTTCAGAGTAAAGTATCAAACTATATGTAAGCGAATCTGCCAGTTTAAGCTGAACGAGGCAACATCAGATCAGATATATGAGGATGTAGGTGCGATTCTTATAAAAGATCAAACTCTTAATCTATAAAAAATAATGTTGTCGATTTGTCTTAGATTAGCAAGAGTTTAGCTCCATTTGGAAAGAAGTTAAAAGCTTAATGCTTCAATTTGCAACCGATATATAATAGTCTATGCCTTGTTAAAATCATCTCCTCCTGGGGATCAATTTTATATTTAATAATATTAATTTAAATTGTAAACAATTCAATAGAAAGTCTGTTTAACCTACAAATTACAAATCACTTACAAAGCACTCCAAAATTTACATTTTAATAAGCCAAATTCCTTAAAAACTTTACAGACGAAGTGAATGTCATTATTCATATAAGATTTTGTTAATTAACCTAATAAATTTTATAACTAAGCCCACAAAATCCAAGGTATAATTAAAATTAGATGACCCAACACATCAATTTTCAATTAAATATGAAGAATAAATTTTCTATCATCGATGTATCAACAATAATAAAGGAAATTCCGATTTATTATCGCCCACAAAAGCCTCAGAACTTGATAACAATGTGTATTCATGTTAAAATTATACATATGCATATTAGGTAAATGGGGAGATATATTTCTGTCTATCTCACAAATGACTTTGGTGCTTAACAAATAATCAGCATGTATCGGAAATTCTCTATGGCAACATCGAAACGCATTTGGCCATATGCTAATCGCAAAACAAGCTAATTCAACAGCAATAGTCTGGAAATGAATAGAATTTGTGTTGGATGTGTTTGTTTCATGTATGACCAAATGGATAAGATAAAATTTACTGATGATGACTCCAAAGGAAGCATTATTTCTTAACAACAGCCGAATGTCGAACAATATGGCATTTGTGTATAGTCCTTGTCCCATAAAGATACATTCATGCATGTAAAATTTCATTTGTTTGATAAGTTTTTATTTGAAAACATGTGAAAAAATTGTAGGAAATTACTAGAACAGAGTCCTCGGTTTAAGAGCGTATTCAGAAATTCATTTGTTTTAAAATCATTCAGAACAACCTGAAAACAATTTTGAATTACTTTTGAAAACCTTTTTACTTGTTTAAAAAATCACTTTTGATTCAGAATAAAAATAACCAGAAACAGATTCTTTTTTTTTCATAAAAAATTCCTTTGACATTAACTGCTCATGTGTACACAGAACTACATTTTATGACAGAAAATTCCATATGTAGCTCTTTTCATCGGATGACATTACAAATAAGGAAATTAAATTATTCCATTACATGAAATATGAAAGTAAATTTGGTTAAATTTGTATTTCATTAAATGTTTTAGCTTTTGATTAAATTAATGCTTTCGTTTTTAATTACACATAGCTTTCAATTTCTATGAGCATGTAGAATGAGGTTGTGATAATCATTTTTGAAATTTTTCTTAGTTTTGAAGTTTGTACTCCTTAATATTAAACAGTCGAGATATTGAAAATTTTGAGTAAGAATGAAAAACAAACTAAAGTTGGACTTTAAAAATCATATAATCGATGGTTTTTGGAACAACAAGGATTACACAATGAAACTCAATGATTCTCAACTAAATTCCCGCAGTAATACTCAAATCAAAGTTCTTTAAGTTTGAAAATCTATTTTTAAAATAACTTCGACTTTATCCTTAATCATTGAATTATTGAGAATTTCTTAAATAATTTTCTCAATTTTTAACCTCTAAATTCCTCATTTGAGTTCAGAAAAGTGAATTAAAAACTTTAAAGCTGATTAATTTCTATGGATTTACAGAAATTGAATTAAAAGTTGTTTACGTTGCGTTTAAATACTTTTGAAAATTCTGCAGAATTAACTCAGTGAATGAATAGTAAATAAGAGAAGCCTTTGAAGTAAGCAAAGTTTGTTATCGCTGCACTCATTAATTGTGTAAATAATCGTAAAATTATTTTAAATTAATTAACAATTTTTGCAACAATTCTGCTGATGAATGAGCTTTATATGATGCTGTAAAAAGAGTTCGTTTATTTTGATCGTTGAAGGAAGTAAAAGAACTACTTATTAATAATGAATATAAGTTTAAGGGATGTTCATTAATAACATCCATCACCATTTAGGACTTTCAGACCTCCTCTATCAAAACTTGCTAGTTTGAAACTCATGATTTTCAGAAGTTTAGACATTAACGAAATCAGGACAACATTGGAGAACTATGCAGAAGTTAGGAATGAACTCTGCATCGGGAAAGCCTAGCAATAACATTACCTCAAGTTAAAAGAATAGAACTTAAAATAATCAAGTTGATCAAGATTCATCAGACTTTATATCTCATAAATTAATCCAGCTTTCTAAACATCACATAAATATTAATAACTGGTGCCAACAAATTCATAACCCTGTTCCGGACAGTGTCGCATCATTAATAATACCAAACACAACTATCAATTACTAATTCTGTCAATATCAACCATAATCTCTCGTTCAGAAATATAAACAAAGTTTCTATAAGAGGATTAATGATTGATTGATCCCACCAACCGATAATTGCTTCCACAGAATTAACATTACACAATTTAGACTTTTATTATAGGTTTAATAATTTTTCTGAAAAATATTTTCGGAATGAAAAAAATTATCAGATTTTATGTCTTTCATGAAAATGTAATTGGAAAAACTCTTTTTGCCTCGAAATCATGCACGAATTGAATTCTCTAAATTGAATAAATTTAATTGAATTTTGCTGAGATCTACCGTTATAAAGTTCAATTAACATCCTGTAATGAAATTATGAATTTTTTGTGCACGTTTTATTATCTTATGGATTTCATATTGATGATAATTTTTGAATACATTTTCGGATGTGGGCTTGCCTGCCTACATATTGTGAATATTTTAATTTAATAATTTTTTATAGGTTATGTAACATTGTGTTGATGATAGACAGAGGCTGTTGGGTGGATTATACAAAAGGAGGAATTTATAAAAGGTTACTGGAGATGGCATTGTTGTCTGAATTAGTATCTGAGGTTAAATATCGTTCATTTACGATTTCCGAAAAAGAATTGTTAGAGAGGGATTTTTAAGAATTTCTAAGGGGACGTTCACTTATGACGTCCGGGGGGGGGGGGGGGGGGGGGGGGTCAGCAAGAAAGGAACAATAGAAATTCCTGGAAATCCATTGTTCTTTTTTGAAAAATGACCGTTAATTTCGGACGTCATAAGTGAACGACCCCTAATCTATGTTCTATTCAATTTTTCGATAAAAGTTCAGATCAAATTAGATGTGGAAGCAATGGGAAGGAATGTGAAAGGAAATGAAAGTTATGTCGAAGCAGGTTTAGGGAATAAAAAACTCTTCAATAAAAAAAAATCGATTTGTTACACCGAAATGCTAATCAACTCCTCTGGTGTGGTATCGAAACTAATTGAAATCAGGGGTGTCGAGCCAAATGTAGACAAATCTGTCAGTGCTAGAGTAAGACTTCAGTAGTCGAGTAAACCGAAAATCTTAAATTCTTGGTTTTCTGGAGATATCGGTTCGATTCCTACCACATGCAAATCTCTAAATCTTTACTTAAAGCATTGTCAATTGATAAGAGATGATAAGGTTCTACATACTAAGAGAACGACTCAATCTCTACATACAACCGGATCTAATCCCGTTTCACATCAGCATCCTATTTATTTCGGGTCAAAATTAGGGGCCGTTCACTTATGACGTCAGACATTTAGGGGGGGGGGGGGGGTCTAGGATTTTGTGACAGTTCAAACAATGGAACTTTTCTATAGAATTTTTGTGACAGACGGGGGGAGGGGGTTGTAAAAATCAGGTTTTTTGATGAACGTCATAAGTGAACGACCCCTTACGAACTTTAAATGGAGCCGTTCACTTATGACTTTCGAAATTAACGATAATTTTTCAAAAAAAGAACAATGGATTTCCAGGAGTTCTATTGCTTTTTTCTTGGTACCCCCTCCCACCTCCCCTGGACGTCATAAGTGAACGGCCCCAATAAAAAATCCCAATAACTCATCTATTTACGAAGAAAAGATTCAAAGCACGAGTGTTTGTCTTCCTTCCGAAAGACTAGCATGTACAGAACAACAACGAAGATAAACATTGCTAATTTTTACACATGACAACGACCTTTGAGATGAGAAAAAGAGAAAAGAAATATTATTTCAGATTTTATCACCAACGGCCAAGCTTAAATGATATTAAAATTTTCCATTGACACACGAAAATGTTTTTTAAGATGAGAAAAAGTTACACGAGTTAAGCAGTAGCAGTTCGACGAAATGATAAACAAGAATTTTTTATTTTTAAAATGATATAATTTTTCGGAAAATTATTTTTAACCTTTATGGACTGCATCAGTTGTTTTCTTTTCTTTTATGAGCATATCCCAGTGGGTGGATGGTCTCTCGATTATTAATCAACTGATAATTGAGATTTCTGTAGTTCTCATCAATCTGATTAAAGCTGAAGTCAATGGAAGGAGATTATGTCAGTTTTATAGATTATTAATTGCATTTTATAACCTACTTATTGCTATCATCAGCCTTTGTTCATTGTAGTGGAAGTTTTTTCAGTTTTATTGAGGATTTAAAAGTTAATGACGTAAAAAAATGAGAATTACTTATAAGCAGTTCGTTTATAAAGTTCAGATAGTGAAGTTGGATCAGAAATCTAGGAGAGTAAGGTTCGATTATTGTCAAAGTTTAGGATTAGGTCGATAAACCATATCTATTTAAAACGACCTTGACAACTTTGTCCTAGCTTCACGAGTTTGACTGAAAGGTTTAAGGAAACGAGTAAACAAGAGCATAGATAGATGTGACTAGATCCAGTGTTAAGAAGTTGAACTCTATAAATCTTCAACTTGTAGAGTAGTTGTCAATTCTGAATTATCCTTACATAGTTAAACAAACTGAATAGCTTTGCATTGACAACTTAAAAATCGATCTTTGGTAGGAATCGAACTCACGTCTTCGCAGCCAGAAGTTTAAAGATTTCTAGACTTTTACTCTTGAACTAGGTAGATTCGCCAATACATAGCTCAAATCAGCCACGGCACAACACAACAATCAACTTAACAGAACCTTGATCTAACCTTAAGATCTTATTACAGTTAAGAATGTGGCGATCATTACACAATTCCTTCGAGACGCTTTCATAAATCACCAAAAACAAGCCGATCACGAAAAAATAGAAAAACAACTCGAAAAACATTTTTTGTTTTCACGCTTTTCGGCACCAGCACGTGCTGTAACTTTCTCAGCACAAATAAGAGAAGAAAAAAAATTAGAAAATATAATTTTTCATCATATCTCTAGTTCACTAGCTATACAAACAAAAACATCACCGATAATAAAGCCGGTAACGAAGTTTTAAGGTTATAAATACGAATTAAAGCATCGCCGATGAATCTGTAATATTCCCAGAGCAACTAAAATAGGTCGAAGCGAACGCCCGCATGATGATGCAGTTAATAGAGTTACGAGAGTGTGTAATAATAAGATAAATATTTCACAAATGAATATGCCCTCTACATAGCTCTTTTTCGGTAAACAAGTTGCCACGAGTCAACGTCTTCTCATCCACACACTGTTCACATGATGATCAGAATGTAAATAAGTGAATAAAATACAGCTCGGATTGAAAGACATTTTCATAATTTTTATTCTTCTACTTTTTCAAACATTTCACTTAAGCTTATTTGCCAGCCGCTGAGTTGATTAAATGAACAAAATTCAGACTATTATTGTTTTTTTTTTTATTTTGGAGAGAATAAATGCCTCGTTTATTTCATAGTTCTTTATTCAATTACCTTTTTATAATTTTTTTTTTGGTATTTAATTTTGAACTTTATTTTAAATTTTTTAATTTTTGAACTTTAATTTTAAGGTTCCACACACCGAATTTTGAAGTCCAAAAGGAATACTTTGAATATTTGTTTACGTAAAAAGATCCAAACTTAAGCTAGTAGCTTACTTTTCTTGTAATATGAATTTGGAGATGAAGCTTATGTTGCAGATTTTGTGGTGTCATTGGTCATGTTTAAAATTTTTCTTTTGGGATAAATAACAATGAGATAGGGGATTTGGGTATATTTTGGATGTTGAAGGATTAGCGCATTTTTAATAAATTATAAATTTATAAAATTACAACGACTATTTGAGGTTTGAATTTTTAACGGTTTTCTCAAATTCAAAACTTTTAACGACTTTTTTAAATTTGAAAATTATTGATGCATTTAGCAACTTTTTGAGGACTAAAGCCTGCTAAAAGCTCAAAATTAAACCCAAAATATCACAATAACCCAAGTTAACGACTAGAACAATTGAGACCACTTAAATTTAGATAAAATTGCACTAAACTTTGTTCAATTTCGACCCAAATGCGCTCAAAAACATGAATATTTAAAATCTGCGATTCAACATAAAGCCTTAAAAGGATACCAATGAAGATTCTAAAATGTCTAATGACTGTCTCTCTCAAATTGCAGTTCAAACGATCAGATCAATTGCATGACTTATTGCACCTCATCGAAAAAAAATGATATTAAGCTGATTCGAAGCTATCTAGAATTTGAAAAGTATATCCGGAAAGTCTCGTGGCTTCGTTTAAGATTCTTAATTCTTATTTCTATATTCGGAAGATTCGTTTGTGTAAAATTTGTTAGTAAAAAAGTTGATTTTATTGAACACATCGAAATTTTGTTGGATTAGTTTCAACATTCGAGGTAGATGTGAGGTAAGAACAGCTGAAACTATTGATTAGCCACCCAAATATGAATAGAGAATTTCTAAACAGTCTGATTTCAGCTATATTTTATTGCCTGAACAATCATAAAATATAACAAAATGAATTTTTCAGTAAATTATGATATAAAAGCATAATTAATAACATTAATGCTAAATTTGTGGAACGAAAGATTTTTTTCAAACAAAACAGTGAGTTTAGGGATGGTAAGTGCGACATAAAGTATAAATTAAGATCTTTTTCAATATGAGGTAATCTTTCAATTTCCGAATATGATTTTTTTCTTTCTCATTTTCAAATTCTAGAAAGCGTGTAGCTTAATTTAATTTAAATAATATTCATTCTCACACTTTATTATTATTTGTAATGCAGAATCGGATCGGATAAAAAGAATTTGATATTTTTTATACTTTCTTTTATGCTTGAAATAAACACAAAATTATTTAAAAACGGTGATAATAATAATATCGGTATTGAAGGATTAAACATTGTTTTTGTGAAGTGATTACTTAATTCCATGAGATATATTAGCTTATTTAACACCAAGGACTTTGTTGACTGCATGAATGACGTCATGGACCTGTGGTAATGCGGCAGCTTCGAGGGACTTTGTGTATGGCATTGGAATATCAGCGCCAGTTACTCTCCAAACTGGAGCATCAAGGTGATAGAAAGTCTCATGCTCCATAATACGTCCACAAATTTCAGATCCAATACCTATTTAATGCACAAACACATGAATTATTAATTAACTGCATCATTTCAATTTTCTATTTAACGGTATTTTAAAAATTTTCAGAACCGTTGAATCATATGAATTTCAAAAAATGCAAGCTTAATTAATTGTACGTACCGCATTGTGGCCAGCCTTGTTCAATGGTGACTAAATGATTAGTCTTTTGTACTGATTTGAAAATAGTCTCTGTATCGAGAGGTCTTAATGATCGCAAATTAATGACTTCTGCTTCAATTCCCTTTGATGAGAGTTCATTGGCTGCATCCAAGGCTGTTTGAACTGCATACGAATGTGCAACGAGTGTGACGTGTTTGCCGGGTCTCATGATTTTAGCCTTTCCAATCGGTAAAATGAAATCCTTATCAAGAACTTCATCACTTACTGGAAATGCAACGCCATAAAGCATCTCATTTTCTAGGGAGACAACTGGATCTGGATCACGAATGGCTGCCTTCAATAAGCCTGAATGAAATAAGAAGAAGAATATTTTTCACATACACAACTGGATATGACTTTTAATTGACCTTGACTTGTTTACCTTTTGCATCTTCACTATCATAAGGTACAATAACCTTCATTCCAGGACAATGTGAATACCATGCACCATAGCATTGAGAATGTTGAGCAGCGACACCGGCAGCTGCTCCATTGGGTCCACGGAAAACAATTGGAACATTTACAGTTCCAGCTGACATATAGAATGTTTTTGCTGCTGAGTTAATAATCTGATCGATTGACTGCATAGCAAAGTTCATTGTCATGAATTCACAAATTGGACGAAGACCTGCAAATGCAGCACCAACTGCCATGCCAGTAAATCCCATTTCGGCAATTGGAGTGTCAATAACACGCTTTTCGCCATACTTTTTCCACAATCCTCTCGTCACCTATAAATATACATTATATGTCAGAAATTAGAGTATATTTTTATCACATTCGTGTCTGTAAATTTTCGAATGTAACAAATATAATAAAATGTGATCATTGAGATGCTTAAATTTAATATAAAATGATTGCATAACACGAAATGATTTATTTGATGAATGAAAATGGTCACTGGATCTTATCAACTCACCTTGTAGGCACCGTCGTAATGTGCAACTTCCTCACCAATGATAAATACTCTCTCATCTCGTTCCATTTCTTCGTCAATAGCTGCATTAAGTGCATCTCGAACAAACAACTTTTTTGCGGCTGTAACTTGGGGAGTTGTTGAGAAGTTGCGCTGAGAAGCACGTCCCAAATTCCTTGCAATTGATGATAACATGATGTAGACTGATTCCTTGGTTCCTTCTCTATCAAAATCGGTCGATTAAATATTAAAATTTTGTTTTTTAAATGTGGATTGTGGAATTTTCGCAGATTTGACTCACACGCAGAAAAACAATGTCAAACTGAGGGTATAGCAAGCGTACAAATTTTCTTTTTCATTGATTTAATTCACAGCGCATGCTACGTGCAGCTATGTGCTGTTGGACTTGCTTTGACTGAATGTCTATGGACTTTTTGAATTAATTTTTTAATATTCAAACTTTAACATAATTAAGAGATCAATTTTGATGCATTATATGTCTAATAAAGTTGATATTTGGAAATGATGCCGTTTTAAAACCTGAAGTACGGCGGCATAATTCTCAAAAATGGAACCTGCTATATCCAGCCACATGAAGTAGAACACAATTATTTTTTTGTTGGACGCAATTGGACGTAATATGGACTTAATTCTGGCAAAGTTTCAAAGTGATTGGACACTTCATGCCTTCGTACTTCAGTCACACTAAGATCCAGACTGGATTTTTTGAATACCGTTAAATTTTTAACTTCTCCCAAATTGCCTACATTTGAGTATAAAAGATCTATTCTTGTTCAGTTAATGATCAAATAATAGGAAATGCGCTTAAATAGCCAACAAAAACCCCAGAATTCCAATCTAATTACAAGTTTTGAATAGTTTTTTACCGTTATTTCCCTACTTTTAACATTCAACCTGTTTTGAGTCTTACTTTCTCTATCTAAGTGTAACAACAATGTTAATTGGATTATTATTGGCTTATGATAAGAAAATTACAATTTTAATGAGAATTTAAGGAGATTCTAATTGGATTAATTCCACATTTTCCTGTAAGATGATGCTGTTAAAAATGTGTCTTTACTAGTAAATTTTGCGTCTCAACTAGCAATTTTGTGTCTCAACTAAGGACGATAAGGCAGATTTTAGCAATTATTGTCACACAAATTGCTATCATATCCCCAGAATTTTCATACACCAATTACTGTAACAAAAATGGTGGAATGGAACGGAACTAAAAAGATCAATCAAGGTCAATGTGGTTTTGCATGTTTGTCTCTTTAAATATTACGAAATATTACTTTTATTATTAAAAATTATCATTTCAACTTATCAAATTAATTATATTATTATAATTTTTTTTTCTACACAGGAAAATTATCCAATAAATAAATTTTTTGTTACGAACAAATTAACTCAACAACAGGAAAAGAAAGAAGTTAAAAATTATAACAAGTTTTAAGTCATAAAGATGGGAAGTAGTAGAAATGGCTATATTAGAATTAAATGAGGATAAGAACATAAGAAAATCATAATTGGCACCATTGATTAAACACATAAACTGATATAAAATGAATCAGTGGCTAGATTAGAGCTGCTGGATTTAAGCTAGAATGTCCAAATTCCAAAGCATCTCAAAATCAGCCACAGAAGAGGAAAACTTAATTAAAACTACTAAATTCATCAATTTTGTCCTTAATAAAAATGATAGAGAATATAATTTTATGTTTATAGGTACGAAGTCACATCATGTCAAGTTCACTCTCGATTGCTCATCTACAATTTCATAAGCATGATTTCTATTAATATTATTGTAAATTGCACATAATGTATGAATACTATTAGCTGATCGAGTAAAAACAATCTTGACATTCGATGTGGCTTCCTATTTAAGCTATTTTTTAATATCAGTAACACATCAGTAGTGTGTTTAAATATAATGCAATGTCACTATTTTAATTATCAAGAAGTTTTTTCTTTCTTTCTTTTTGCATCCTCATCTGTAAAATTATTTGTTTACTTTTTGTCCACAGAATAAATGATGATGGGAGCAGGAAAGAGTCTTGCGAGCCATCAATAATTTTCTGAGCATTATCAGTTAATTATGGTGCACTGAAAGGCATTGTTTTTGTGATGATCTTTTAGATTTTTGCATATTTTTGCTACAATTTCATTCGTTTGATCTGAATGTGTACGAAGCTTACAATAGAAGCTGATTTTGTATTTGAAGTAGCTTGCATTAGAGATTTAGAGCAGGAATTTTTTGGGTTTTTGGGGAATAAAAGATTATGGCTCGATTTGAGTTGAGCTGAATATGTTAACTCTGAACCCAATCTGAACCCGATATTTTCAAGGTAAAAGCTTGAATATTTCAAGTTCAAGTTTCAACCTTTCAAGTTCAAGTTTTCAACCTTTTTAAATTCAAAATCCAGAAAAGCCAATTTAAAACTCTAATTCTTAATTTAAATTGTCAGAAAATCATATAATTTAACTTAAAGATCTACAAACTTTAGTTGCAGCAACAATATGCTCTCCAGCCATCAATTCAGTGTCCATTAGATTAAGATTGAGTTTAAATGTCAATAAATATGTTCATAGCAATGCCAGGAAAATCAATCAGAAAAATTCACGAGTCAGAAAGAATTCATCATTGTTTGTATCTTTATCCTTAAACATTAATCTTTGCTTTGTATGTCGAAAAAAAAAATTGGTAGAAATTTAACATCACAGCTGAACATTATTTTTTTTTTCATTTGCTGTATCCTAAACTTGCCAAACTATTAAGTAACTCTTATCTCCTCGATTCTCAATTGTTTGATTTGGTTGTAAGACAATGCTGTTCTCCATGTCTCCATCTCCTGTAGAGTTTTTTGTTTTGGTGGATACATAAAATAATTGAGAGATGTGACAATGTTAGACAATTGTGACTTTAAAGAGTTTCTTATTAGATACAAAAACAAAATGCATGCAGAAAATAATAAAATATTGTACTTGGGTGCTTTAAGATTAATAATAAAGGTTCTGAGAAAATAAGTTTTCAAGCAAACCAAGCAACTATTGTATGGGATGTGTCTAGAGGTCGTTCACTCAAGCCGTCAGTCAAGTTCAAAATTTGAACCGATTAAGATCAAATTTTGAACTTACCAAGCATTACCAAGAAACATTGAACTTTAGCCAAATTTAAAATTTCCAAGCAACTTTCAAGTTCAATTTTTTTGACCTTCAGTCAAGTGAACGGCTCGATAGAAGTTTTTGGTCTATCCTACTCCAAAAACCTTCTAGGTACACATCCACTCCCCAATATTAAAAAGTAAAAGCAGATTAAATAGACACTAAATGCTAGGATTTTATCGCAAATCATATTAAAAAATTGTAAAAACTACAAAGAAAAATGTGAAAAATTTTACCTTAATGAAAAACTTATTTTTTCCAGTGCGCCAGATTTAATTTTAAAACTTAACAAAACTTTTTACTTAGAAGTGTAGAATAGATTTTAGAAATAGGAATAAAGTAGTAGAAAAGGTGCTTTGGCATAAATTTTTGTATATTTTGATTAAAACCCTTCCCATCACCAGTACACACAGAATGGCTATCTTGCCAACCATGCACACCTTTGCACACCCTCAGACTATATATTAATATAATTTTACTGACTCGATGATGTTACAATTTGCCAGATAAGTATGTGCGAGGTTGTATCTGACGCTGAGCCATCATCTTCTAATTAATTTTAAGGATAGAGTTTTTTTATTTTGTTATTTTTGCGCAAGCAACATTTAGAGAAATCATGAATGGTGCGATTTTAGTAGGTTTTTGAGATTTATTTTGGCGCATTTTTTGATGTTTTCGGTGGAGGAATAAAAAAATCAAAAAGAAAAAAGAATAAAACAAAAGAAATTAAAAAGTTTGAAATTTTTATGACAAAAAAAAACGATAATGAAGTGAAAAACTAAATTGTCTAAAAGTACAAAGCCATTGAAAACTTTTTCTCTGATTTTTCTACGCTCAAAAATTTGACAAAAATAATAAAGAAAGTTAAAAACTTACCCAAACGGAAGTCAATGTAGCCTTCACCGCCTGACATGACTAGCATATCTTGGTGATGTCTATTCAGTAATGATGGGAAATCGTTTGGTGGAGGATTCATCGGCACTGACACAAAGAATTTAACTGCATCTCGGTGACCATGAAAACTTAGCTGTGAATGTGCCATGCAACATTTTGGAATACTTGAAGCTAAAAAGAATAGAAGAAAAGATTTAATTGTTTGATATTTTTCTTTAAATATGACAATTTATGCATTCGCAAGCTTAATTTGTAATAAATAATTTTAGATTCTAGCGGATTTCTGAAATTCAAATTTCAACGGTTTCTCAAAATTCAAATTTTTGTAGTTCAAAATTTGAACTTAACTGGATTTATGGAATACAAATTTCAAAAAACCGTTAATTTCATAAATTTTAAAATCAAAGTTGTGGACAAATAAACAAACTTTAAATCTAATTCTATAGCAAATAATTGAAAGCTCCTTACATATCTTACCGTTGCCATCTCCAGTCAGAATGACAGAAATGATGACTCCATTTCCAGTACCAATCCACAATCTCCCACATGAGACATGTAGAGCAGTAATGCGCACAAATGAGAAGCCTAATTTACCCGTTCCAAGCATTTTGCTAACATATGGTTCAATATCAACATCTTGTAAATGCTCGTAAGTTTGTGAATGATAAAGTCTGAGTGTTGAATCAAGTCGAATTGACACCCACACGCCAAGACCAGTTGCAGCCATCTGTCGAACTTGACTTTCTTTTCGTGGATGTGCCTCAAGCGTATGAGTTATATTCAATGTGATTGGATCAATGACGTGAATACGATTTCGATGTGCAGCCCAAACCTTATCGCCAACAATTGTTAAACATCTAACAGACTGTTTTGGTGAGCCTAATGTGATGAGATGATAAGCATTAATATCCCATTCACCATTCATTTGTCTCCTAAATACTGCAACTTTTCCATTGGCTAATGCAATAACGACTCGTCCACAAACGTGAACGATTGATAGAACAGCATCTGGAAGTTGAACAGCATGAAGACAAACTCGCCATCGACCAACTGATGAATGTACATAAATCATTCCATTTTGAGCACCCATCCACATTGTTGGTCCAACTGACGTAGGATTCATATCGTCTTGATTATTCTCTTCATCGTCAATATTCTCTTCGTCTGGGGATGCTTCACTTGCCTTTTCTATCTCAACATCATGATTTTCCTCAATTTTAGTCTCTTGTTGCTGTGGAACTCGAATATACTCAACTTTACCAATCTCATCAGGATCTCCTGCATCTCCTGGCTTTTCTAACATCTCACCAGACTTTGTTACTTCACTATTTTCAAGCATATGATAATCCATCTCTAAAGCACCCATAACTGTGCATATGCATAACAAATGTGTCTGACAAATTGGAAATGAATCGAGTACATCTGCAGGATTTTTGGCATCAATAACAGTGACAGTACTCGCTGAATGTGTGCTTGTACAAATCCATACAAAACTACTAAGTTGTAAATCTTCATTCACTTGATCCATAGCTAATTTCATTTGTTTATCAAGGCTTTCTAATTCGCTAGGTGCAGTTTCGTTTGTCGGTGTTGTTACATCTGTAATTACAGCAGTCGTTTGTCTAGAATAAAATACACTAGCACCAACAACACATCCACCATCACGAGTATATCCACCATTTAAATTTACTCCACTTGCACACCAAACTTTCATATGAGGACTTGCTTCAGCTAATGGTCTACAATAAACAGGCACGGGAACTGGAACATTATTATTAGGTTTACCACCCGTTGATCCTGATCCAGGCTTTGCTGTACTTCCTGGTAAACTCCATCCATAAGCTTGTAATCGTCCATCTTCTTTTTGAACATGAGCACGAACTTGACGATATTGTTCACGTCTTCTAGCCATTGCTCGTTCGGATGTACCATCATTTGATCCTTGACTTTCAGTACTTGTTAATACAAGAGAATTACTTGCTGATGCTGCCGGTCCAATAGCTGGAAATTGTGATCCACGCCCCTCTCCTGGTTGCGGCGAATTTCTATGAAACATCGGAGGGGGCTCTCTTTGCGGTCTATCATTAGTGCTAAAGAGATTGCTAAAAAACTTCCAAATACTTTGTTTTGATTTTTTGTCAAGTTGATCAACTTTTGTTGCTCGCATCATTTCCGTCCAACGGACAGCATCTTGAAGTTCCATAAATCGTTCCTTATATTGATTACGTTCCATAAGAACTCGTGCCATTTCTACTCGAGTGAATCGTTTGCGCTGTGCCATTGGAACATCTCCATCATCTTCTTGTTCAGATGTTTGTTGCTTAATCTGATCTTTTGCCTTTCTCAAATCATCCTCTAATTCACCAACTTTGGTTTTAAGCTTATTACGTGATTGAATGACTGCATTCAACTCTTCACGAAGAATTTCTAATTCGCCAGTCAACTCATCTACTTTGACTATTAAATCGTCTTTCACAATGTTCAGTGCATTCCTAGAAAATTATTAATACTCATTAAATCATCACTATTTTATTATGTGCTATAATGACGACTTACTTTGTTGCTAATAACTCATTATTCTCCATAATTAGATTTTCCACTTCTTTTCCCATACCTATTTTGACCAGACAGATAAGAACAAGAAGGAAAGAAATCGTGAATATTTTATTTTTACGCGTATGATGTAATTACAAGAAACAACAAAATAGTCAAATGGATATATCATAGGTAATGCTATTAGTAAAAACAAAACACTCACCAAAGAAGTTATCGTTAACTGTAATGATGGATATCGGCATTTTTTATGTTTATAGCATGCGAAAAGTTTTTGTTTATGAGAATTTGAGTAGTTAGTATGTGAAAGAAGAACATTATTAGATGATTGAAACATTAGGGCGATTACGAAATTGTCAACGGACTTTTTTGATTCGAATTTTATGAAATGTTTTTTAAAAGTTCAATTTTTGAACTTGGCTTTTCAAAAATAATTTGACAGCTAAATTTTGGAAGTTCATTATTCAAAAATAATTTGGCAGTTAAATATTGGAAGTTCAATCTTTGAACTTGATTATTCAAAAATATTTTGGCAGTTAAATTTTGAAAATATTTTAACCGTTAAATTTCGTCACATCCCTATAAACATCAAAAAGAGATATAGTTCACAAAGAATATAGACATACCGGAACTAGCGTATTCGCCTGGATGAACCATCCCAGTTATTTCGTTTTCTTCACTTTCAAGCGTATCGTCTTGGAATGAAAGTTCTTGATACAGCGTATTTGCTGAACGTTTCTCACTTTTCGTGGTACTTCGTCCGGTAACAATTTGTGGGATAGTGGGACTAGTAATTTCACTCGGAGGCGATGTAGCTTGATTATGTTGCTGAAGTTTTTCCGTTTCTGATGATTTTTCCATCGTTTCAATTTCATTTTGTAATGAAGGTGGACCCGATCCACTCGCTGAACTGGGCCCACTACAAATTGTTTCAGTATCAAGCATAGCAACAGAGTTTTCAAGCGATGCAAAGCCAAAGGAAATAGGACCTGACGAGCGATTTATTGGATTCAATCTCATTGATCGATTCATGTCCATTCTTTCTGATGCTGAACTCTGATGTAATGAATGAGTTGAATTACCCATAATTAATTTCGTACGTTCCATATAATCTACATGTGTCTTAAATAATTCTGTATATCTGTCATGGAGCTTATTATATTCCTTCTTTAATTCACCTTCCCGCTCTTCTAATCGTGATGCATGCTCTAAACTATTTTTATGCTTTAATTCTAACATTCGAACAATCGATTCTAAAGATTCAAGACGTGAAGCTAGTTCTTTATTCTCAGCTTCCGCTAGATCTTCTGTATCCAATAATTTTTGTTCAGCTTGCTTTCTGCCACCTTTCTCGCGCTCATATTGAGTAACAAGTTGCTCATTATCTTCTCTTAACAGCTCCAATTCAACCTCTTGCTCTTGTATTTGCTGATAAGCTCCATCAAGACATTCAAGGACATTGACGAGTAGTGGCATTAATGTTTTGACTACATCTTCATCATAGCGTGATATCATCTTCTCAAATTCTTGATAAATGCTGCCAGCAAGTGACTGTACCTAAAATACATTCAAGTAAGCGTATAAAAAAAATTGTATGATTCACGACGACATTTAATTTTTTATATGGGCGAGGACGTAGCATATGTGGACTTTTTGGCTATTAAGCTTAGCATTGTTGTAATTTGATATCATCAGATTTTTGTAGAAATAAGACGGTAATTTCAATAGCATTATTCAATTAAATTTTGCGATACACAATACACATATTTCCTCTATTTATTCATTCACTGACTGCCTTGCCTGCATACTCACTCCTCCCTACTTCTTCGTAATCTATCGATTTTTCTATGAATCTCAAAAATTTTACCTTTTCAGACATTACAGCTGATGCATCGTCTGAGCTATAGACAGTTTCACCCATTGAATTTCTTGTGCCGTTATCCATTTTTGTTGAGATTTAAGGTTTTGTGACTTAATTTAACTTTTTTTGCTTTTTTTTTCTTAAACAAAAGAAATTTTTGCCAACGCAAAAAAATGGGTCGACGTATTTTAGACTATTCGATCCATTTTTAACCAGGCTTTTAGCTTATTTAGCTGTCCATTTATCCTGTAAATGGATTAATGATGATTATGTTGGGGATTTCCTCAGTCAAACTAGTTAAATTTAATTTTTATTCAACTATCAAAAATTATCTTATTCAATTGTGTAAAGACACCTTTACTATCGACATGTTAATGCGCCGAATGTTAATTTTTTTAAGATATCCAATAGCTGATTTTATGGATTGTAAAGCATTCAATTATATCCATTTCTGTATAATTTGTGCTTTAATTATCAATGTATTCAATGATATAATGGCAAAACAAATTTCACTCGGGAATTTCAAAAAACTTTTAACCGTTAAAGAAATTTGTTTCAACGACGTGAAGTTAAATTTTGTTTTGATTGTGAAAGTCAACAAATTATTAATTTAATCATACTAGATCTTCAAAATGAGCAGTAAGGAAGTCAAGAACCTGTTAAAAGAAGCTCGAGAAGCTATAAAAAGTAAAGAATTTCCAGTGGCAATTAGAAAATGCAAGGTAAAATGTCAAATAACAAATTTATTCGGTGATTTCTGATGTTTTGATTAATTTATTCAGGAAGCTCTAAGTCACGATAAGAAGAATGGGATGGCTTTCATATTTATGGGAGCTGCATATCAGGAAACTGACAAGATTGAGGCTGCAAAATGTTTGAGAAAGGCTATTGAGTTATCTGATGACTGTAAGTTGTTGGCATTTCAAGGATTGGCAAATTGCGTTGCAGTAAAGGAACTACCTGAAATTTATGAGGAATTATTGAAGCTCTTACCTGATAAGTATAATGATTATTACTCGAAATTAACATCACTTTTTCTGCAAGATAAGATCACAGATTATGCATTATTAATAAAAATATTCTGTAATGAAATAAAAATTGATAATAAGGAACGGAAATATGCAGCCCTTAAAAGTCTATTAAATGTTTTCATGAAGAATCGTGATGAGGCATTTGAGAAGCATAAGGATGAGTTTTTAGAATGTCTTGAAGTTGGAATTCAGGATAAAAATCATTTATATCATGTCGACATCTATCAATACTACTTTAAGATCCTTCAAAGTAAGGAACGATATGGCGATTTAGTCAAATCTGCTGAAGAGATGACAACAATCTATTCAAACAATGTAATTCCACTTGAATGGATCTGCAAAGTCTACATTGACAATGAAAAAAATCAAAACTTTAAGATTAGTGAGAATCTAAAATCCAATTTTGGGATCTACATCGAAAGACTTCTTGAAATCAATCCAAATTCAGTTCTAGGACTTACTGCAAGTGCACTAGTTAAATATGCAATTGGTGACTTAGCTGGATCTCGAGATATTCTAATAAAAGTCAATGAACTTCAGCCAAATTGGTCTTTATGCCTTAAAAGATTAGCATTAATTCATGAAAGGTTCCGTGCCTACCTATTAGCTGAACTAGTTTATAGACAATTAAAAAATGTTGATATTAATCTCGCTGAAATGTTGATAGAACAGCATGAGAAGAATAAGGTTCTGGAAGGCATAGAAATTTGCAAAAATAACTTAACGGACATAAAATCCACAGAGTTAATTATAAAAGGCAACATTTATTTAGGAAATTTGAGCGAGGCTGAAAAGCTTATAGAAAATTTACAACATCAAAGTGAGAACGTGGTGCTTATTAAAGCTCTTATTGCCCATGTAAAAGGTGAAAATGAAAATGCAATTGAAATTTTGCGAGAAAATGAGTCCCACGAAGCCTTCTTGGAAGTCGGAAAGCTTTTGTTTCACGATAAAAAATTCGATGAATCACTAATTAACATTTTGAAAGCAACTAAATTAGACCCAAACAATTCCGAGTGCTTTTACTGGCTGGGAAAAATTTACATGACAAATAATGACGAGGCAAGAAGTAAGAAATGCTTTGAAAAGTGCCTCAACCTAAATCCACAGAATGAGAAGGCAATTGCCACACTGTCAGCAATATATCGTAAAAATAAAGATTGGGATCAGAATTTGCAAATTTTAGAAAAATCTGTAAAGTCTGTAGACGGCGCGTATCAAAAGGCTGCATTCTTTCAACTCGGTCTTCATCATCTTGCACAACAGAGTTATGATAATGCAATTACAGCATTTAGAAATTCATTGAAATATGACAAGGAAAATACGGAATGTTGGGAAGGTCTAGCTGATGCTTATATGGCTCGAGGATCTTTTAATTCAGCATTGAATGTATTTGAGAAAAGTGTCGAAATTAATCCCTTAAATTCTTATGCGAAGCTTCAAGTAGCAAAAGTCAAATACATCCTACAACAATATCAAGAATCAATTACTGACTATGAGGAACTGCTGTCAATCATTCCCGACTATTTGCCAGCATTAAAAGGTATAGCAGAGAGTCATATTGGTCGTGCAAATTATCTTCATGAAAATCATAGAACAGGCAGAGCACGTGATCACTGTCAAAGTTCACTTTCATTTTTGGAACGTGCTATAAAGCAGGAACAGAATTTCGTTTGCTTGTGGCGTAGCTTAGGAAATCTTTTTGATTTTGTTGGAAGTTTCCCGGAAATTTACAATTATTTAATTGTGCCAGCGACTATTGTGTGTGAGAATCAGCCAAAGAAGTTGTCTGGTGATGAGCTTTTTGATCTAGCATCTAAATGTTATAGTCGATGTCTAAAAATGAGTATGAAGAATGATTTTGTGTGGTTTGATTTAATCGCAAATCATTATAGACGTGCTATGAAGACTATCAAGGAAGATGCAAAAGCTGAGTTCCTTAAACTTGCAAATGACGGTGCTAAACATTTAGTTAAATTAGCACCAACAAAATGGCAGAATTGGAATCTATTAGGAATTATATCAGCTACGAAAGAGATTAATGATCCCGCTCTAGCTCAACATTGCTTTATTAAAGCTATAAATTTAGATAAAAGGACATTTACAAGCTGGTCTAATTTAGGGGTTTTCTATTTAATGAATGGCGACATAAAACTTGCAAATAAGGCATTTAGTAGAGCACAACAATCTGACACTTCATTCTTAAATGCATGGATTGGACAGGCATGTATTGCAGAGTTAATTGGAGAGCATGACGAGACTATGGACTTATTTAGACATTGTACTCAGTTAGGATATCATCATGAGTCATCTATTGGATACTCAAATTTCGTTTGCTCTATCTTGAATAAGCCTGACTATGCTAGTAATCCGAAATATGAGTATGCTATAGACAAAATGCATGCGATTCCAATGGCACTTGACAATATCAAATGGCATTGCTTGGACGAGTCGGAGGCAACATTTGAAGCTTGGTGTTTTGTTGGATATCTTAGTAAGTGTCAGAAATTGTACAGTCAATCCATTCATGCATATGAAAAGGCTGTAGAATTGACTGAGGATGTATCACTTAAGGATAAGTGCCTCACAGATTTGGGATTCTGTTATTTGAAAGTTAATGAGCACAGTAAAGCAACAAAAGCATTTAGTGATGTAAAGGAAGCAACATTCATGTCTACAGTTGGACTTGCATTGGCATTTTATAAAGGTAAGCAGCATTTTAATTCTTGGTGATTCATTTTGGTATTTTTCAAAAATTTTTTCGTCGTTATTTTTTCAAATATTTTATTCACCACTATTGACTCATAAAATCAGCTTTTCTAATGCCACTCAGTTCCTCTAACGCATACAATTTATTATTATTGAATATCAATGAATTTAATTAACTATAAATCATCAATTAGATGGTCAATATCAAGATTGTTATGAAACGTATCAGAAAGCAATCGAGTGGCTAGCAACGAATGACGAAGAGAAAGCTCAAGTATTAATTGCGATGGCTGCAATGATTTACGCCTTTCAAGGAGCTGAAGATGCAAAAATGGTTTTATTCCAATGGTAATTTATATCCCGTATACTTTGAAACATAAATTTTAAATGTTTCTTCCTCTTTTTGCATACAGCATTGGACTTTCGCCGACACCGGTCGAAGGACTTTTATCTTTATGTGCAATAAGTTTATTGCATAAAGATAAACAGCTTGGCGAATTAGTTATGAAGGAATTAAGAAGTCATGAAAAAGACTTGGTGTATGGACATCATGTTTCCTTTATGATGGCTCAGTTTTATATCAAATATGTGAGTATTAATGGCTTTACAATGTCGTTAAATCTAATTTCAAATTTAGTTCAAAAATTTCGCAGAAAATTTTAAATTTCACAAAACCGTTAACATTTGAATTCCAAAAATCCGTTATGCATTAAATTTTTCTGCTTATACAGGAATCTAAGGACATTGCTATTGCCTACATTTCATCAAGAATCCATGAATTTCCAAACAGACCATTCTTACGCAAACTTCTCGCAAACGTACTCCTAGAAACGTCATCAAATGACAATAGCTTGATGAAGGCTGCATGCAGAATGGCTGAAAGCTCATTAATTCTTAGAATAATGAATAAGGAAGTGATGTCATCTGAAGAAGCAGCAGAGCTGTTGGCATTAGCAAGCATGACAATCAAAAAAGTCGACTCAAAAACCTCAAAAATGTACGCGCAAAAAGCCATCCACATTTGTCCCACTTACTGGAAAGTCTTGAAAATTAATTAAGCCTTTATCGTAAATTGTTCAATAAATATTTTGTCGATTATCAAAACATAGCTTATTATTATTATTAGATCTCATCTTCTAGTCATGCGTTCAAGTCTTCTTATTGCCTGTAAATTCCTCTCGTTTTGTTTACAACCATTTCGCGCGTGATCGATTCGTGGCGCGCTCAAGAGAGTAAAAGAACTGCTTTTTGGTGAGAACGAAAGAAAAAGCAACAAACGAGTTTAAGACGATCGTGTTGACTCTCTCAGTCGTTTAGAGTAACTTGCCGTGTTAACTTCGAAACGATATTTTTTTCATATTATTTTGTGTCTGTGTCTAATTGTGTTTATTTGTTTCCAATATATACAGCAAGAAAGTGGAATTCCAACGTGAATTTCTCGTTTTTATGCAAATAAAAGATTAAAAATTTGCAGATCAAAAAAATTTGATTCCTGAAAAATCGGTCAAAATCGACAATATTGTGTAGATGTGAATACAAAACAACAAACAATTCAAATGGATTATTAAGATTGTTACTTATTTTTGCAAACGTCCAGAGAACAAAAAAAAACAAATTCGAAAGGTGAGATCGCTTTCATTTTATATTCGATCAAGTTATACAAAAAAAATAAAAAATGTGAATGGCTAAAAATGTGAATTGTGATGAAAAAAACCGACGAAACGAGTTGAGATCCATATGTGAATACATTAAATCCACCAACACGAATTGTTGTGTGTTACGAAATGCCAAAAATATGAATATTTGCTCGCAGATGAGTAATGAAACAGATATTCTTTGACAATCCAAGGATTAATGATTTCGGGGAATGAAATTTGAAGCCATACAAAATTGCAATATCGCATGTTATGATGAACTCATGTGTGCTGCTTATTTATCTTTCTTTTGTGATCTTACTTCTTATAAAGTTCCCTTTGAGTTATTTTGTGGGGGTTTTGTGAATATTTTGTGACAAATCTCAAGTTTTAAAATAATTCTCTGAATTCGCTTTTGTGCTAATTAAACTATAGAACATCTTTTCAAGCTTTAAACTTTAAAACTTCAAACAAGAAACAAAATATTGATTATGTAGATTTCAAAAAATGTAATTATGACTGATAAATCATATATTCTAATATTTGTTGAGGATTCGAACTCTGATACTATTATTTTTTATTCCTTTATTAAACATCTTACGACATTTTGTGTTTCTTAACATGGCTTTAATTGGCATACGTTATTATAAAGCTCCTCTAAAATTGTCATATTTAATGCTGACTTTATTACAAGTCAAGGACTTTTTGAAGTTGGATTTTAAACCTTTTTGTTTGAGAAAATTAAAAATAAAATTATTCCTCAAAAACCCTTTTAAATCGAAGAATTTTTGTCGAGGAGGGAAGGGGGGAATTGTTTCCAAAATTCCCATCTGACTACACGCTTGTTTCAATTCAATTTGAAATTAACGCAAAAACTCCCTCAAAGACCTTTGTTGATCATAATAAACCCCAAAGTAGATTTCTTAAAAAAAACTATTTCAATATTCTTCCAAATGCAGCATAAAGACGACAATGAATGATGATTTCAAAAAAGATATAAACGGAAGTTAAAAATAAGATTATCATCAATAACGTATTTAACGTAGAAGTAAGACTTTATTTTTGTGTAAATCGAGATAATTTAATAGCAAATTAAATCTTATTTTTCATTGAAGTTTGCAACCTTTAACGTGTATAATACGTGCTATAAAGAAACAGTTATGGATTCATCCATTATATGTATTTCTTATTTTTTTTGTATAAAATTGGAGCATCATCATTTGAAAAAGAAACAAAATAAAAAGAAAATTGAAAGTTTAACATCGAGTATCATGCACGAAACATTCTTTAAATCAAGATGGACTCATGTCAGTAACCTTTAATAGATGAATGGAAATAAAACATAACTGAAGTGGGACTTTTGGGTATGATGTCCATCATTGGTCCACTTTTAAACTCTTGCTTTGTACAACATATGCAAAATCTTATGATTAAGGACAGAAAATTCTAAAAAATCAAATTTTATCCTCGACCAAACTTATGAACAAGCCCAAAAGAATTGATTAAAGTACTTCATAGTCGATTCTCCGCGGGAGAATTTTAATTCTAATTTATTTCTATTGTTTTCTAACATTTTGCGGTTTTATCATCACAAAGCTACTTCAACGTGCTCTAGCAATAAATGTTCTCTTTTTTCTTTTCATCATATTTGTGCAATTTTCACATGAAAAATGCGAATTCCAATAAAAATATAAGCAATAATTGAGACCAGAAGCTACTCTGTGAGATAATTGAATTTTAGAATGCAAAAAGCGAATCGGGATTTAAATGAAATTAAAAACCTTTTTTTATTCTCTCTTTCTCTTCACTTCCAATTCAATTTCTGTTTTGTGTTAGTTGAGCATCACATCATCGCATATATAGCAATTAAATTCATGCTTCTAAAATTGTATATATGAGTAGATATTCTACATCTTAGTGACTCAGCATTGAATATAGAGAAAGACAGATTTTGCGATCACCGCTATTGTTACTACTTTTATACAGTACTGAAGTCATTCGTTATTGTTTTTTTCATGGAATTAAATTTTATTTGCGCTTGTGGAATTTTCTTGAGTTATTTGGAATTGGTGATGGGTTTTTGAGATATAATATGTGGCTATCTTTCAAATGAACGTATTTCTGGCTTGTTAAAGCTTGTAAAAAATGCCAAAAAGTTATGAAATAGAAAAAATACCACCTAATTATACATCAATTAATTTTACAAAATTAGGTTTCGAACCTTTTACAATCGACAATAATTCAACTTTTAATAAAAATCCTTATCAAAATTTCAACAAAAACAAACTTAAATTCACGAATACCAAATTCAATAACAAAAAGTTCGTATATCCACCTAAATTTAGCTAATGATGAAAAAGATAAATCTCATTGTACATTAACTTTCTGGGTCTTTCAAAACATTCTTCAAAAGCAGTAAAATTATCAATTCGATTTACTTCTTTTCATTCCAAAAAATATGCTTAATGGTTGTCGGTAAAAGTAAACAATGATGAAGATATAAACATAATATTTTCATAAATTACTCAGTAAATGAGTCTACATACCACAGTTCAACCTTGAAACCCAACGAGATTTGACTGAGATGCAGTTATATTTCTTAATTTATTCTTTGCTCAATAGCTTGGCGAAAAATATTTGTGGAATGCTCTTATTTAGCCGACCTGTGCACGAAATTGAAAAGAGAAGAAAAAAAAAACAGACTAGAGTAGCATAAAGTGTTTCTCCCTCTCATCTAGCTATTGACAACAACGTGAAAAATAATGCAAATCATGAAAACTAAATCAAGGTTGTTATTTCAATACATATAGTTTTTTAAGAAATAAAGACAACAACAAAAGTTATACACAAGCTATAATAAACAATCACAAGTGATGTCCATTTATGTTGTTGAAAAAGAGAAGATAAAAATTAATTCTTGTTGACCTTTGGAAATTGAGAAACACTTTATCATAAAAAAACAACAAGACACCTGCATTAAATGAAATTTAATTGGATATATTTTGCAGTACCCTTAAGGAATATTTTTGCTCGATTTATGATAATATTTCTAGACGACTAGTCTGGTGTCTAGAGCTACTGGGGAGATACTAAGATTTAAGTTGATTATGAAATTGTGATTGATGTTTTTAGATTGAGCAGGGGTAATGAACAGAATAGTGCAAAGTCTAACCGGGGAACTTAACCTAGTTATACTCAATTTTTGATTATCCTTCGAACCTGAATTCTATTAAGATCTGAGAACAGTCATTCGATGCGGTTCAGTTAAAATTTACTTTCAAGTTGCTAGTTGATTCATAATTTCATAAAATCTAACCCTGCATTCTGACAAAAAAGATAGATGCTGATAAATATCGTGTTACTCTCGCACAGATGCATCTACATATGGTTTTTAGATACGGAAGATTCAACAATGCTCGAAATTAAATTAATTGAAGCTAAAAACCTTTAAATTATCCGATCGAAAATCGTAAGATAGACACCCTAAAAAATCCAGATAATAAGAACAATCCTTACTAGGTCAAAGAAAACAATCTTCACGCGAACTACCACACAGCGTCAGCTTTAATCAATATTGATCTCATTTACTATAATTTCAATAATTTTACTTCATATTTAAATGATCATTGAAACATTTTATTTAATAATGCAGGTGCAGACCTGTGAAATATTTAAAAACAACTTTTTTTCAGTCTCTCACTCTGCAATTTTCATTTGCAAGGAACAAATAATCATAATAATTTATTGGCTATAATATTGAGCGTTCACAGCAGAAATTTTTGACATTGGTAGGCGAAAAAAAAGAAAAATTGAGTCTGCAACCGACCGTAATAATTGAATGCGATCAATAATTTAAAGGATTGATTTTTTTTTTTGGTGGATAAAAAACCACTGACTGTAGTAAAATGACACATGTTTAAGGCATGATTATTGACTCTTGACTCTATTGTACAGTAATGAGTGATTTTTCATTTGTCAAAAATGCAATTAATTCAACACAATTGTTAATCTTAATTGAATGCAATTTTTCATTATTTAATATTGATTGCTTAATTAATTATTTAACCATACATGAGCAGCACATGTCCGACACACAAGTATTTTTCTGGTGCAATTTTTTTTACATGCCTGTGTACAAATTGTATTATTATGTGAACTATTGAACATAAAAGGCGTGAAATTTCCACATACTTGTTAAATGTAAATTATCACCGACATAACGATGAACGATGAGTATGCAAAGTAAGTCACATCTTTAACTTTATTTATTGTGATGTGCGCCACAGTAATAAAACATATTGAATGAAGTAATAATCATCATTATGCAACACTATAGATTTTGTAAATTGTGATAAATTAATTTTCAAATATCCCCATGGCATCCATCGACTCATGACTGATTATTTTTCTCAATTGCTTTTTGATAGCCACATACAGCTTGTACATCGCATAAATGTTATGCGAATAATTTCAT